TTATTAAAAAATAGTCGAATGGGTCCTACACCTTCTATAAAAACAAAATTATGTTCTCCATCTTTTTCTCAAAAACTACTTTGGCAATTTTTTTAAATAATATTTGTTGCCCCATTGTGCCATCATACTCATCACCACAGTAATTTTGAAAATTAAAAAAAAAAAAATACAGTTCATTTGAAACTGTATAATCGATTTCTTCCGAATACTTGTGGTCGTTGTTGTTGTTGGGCGCCAAATAGTAAGCAGTTCATGTCTCATTTTAACGGCAGTTTATTCTCTCCCCAGGGATCAATATTGACTAACTGTTCCACAGCCACAATTTTCGTTTTTGGGAGGGCAACAGGGAAGATAACGTCTGTTGGCCGTTCGTCGTCTATCTGACTGTCGGTTATCAATTGTAAATGTAGGTTTCAATTTGAACTGAATTCACAAAAACAAAAAAAACGACACACGAAAACGTAAAGTGGAACCAGCAGCGACATGCACAGATAGATAGGCCACAAAGTAAGTGGACAGACATATGGTCGGACGGAAAATACAACAAAAACGTGTAATGTATAAATAAATAAGAACAACAATGCAATAATGAAATGTTTGTCTATAACGCAATGTTGACATCCATCCCCCATTTAGAGTAATGAAAAAAATGTCATAAATGGCAACAACAACAACGACGACAACAGGGAAAATATGTTACATACCTACATACTCGTACATAGATTATTTTTGTTATAATTTACTTCAAAACGGGAATATAAGTGGGGCAAACATACACACAAACAGGAATTGAAAAACTGAGAACCACACAAACACACACCCAAACTTGCATGGAAAAATCACAAAAACAAAAAAAATATGTCATGCATTTAATACTGACCCGTATCAGCTGGAATTTATGTCCGTCCATAATGACTGAACCCCGCCGAACGATTGCAAGTGCAAACATATGTTCTAACGGTACATTGAAAAAAAAATAAATTCAATATGCGTGGATTATTGAAAATTAATTTTCAAGTTCTAAAATAAACCTGGAAATGTGAAAAAAATTTCATAGGAACTATCTGAAGGGTGGATTTTTGTAAGGAATATTTTTAAAGGAATATTTTTTTCAAGCCTTTATTAGCACGTGAATTTTGAAAAATAATTTTTCAAAACCCATCATAGTCGTGGATTTTCAAGGCCTATCATAGGCGTGGATTTTTTTAAAGAATATTTTTCAAGGCCTATCATAGGCGTGGATTTTTTAAAGAATATTTTTAATGGCCTATCATAGTCGTCGATTTTTTAAAGAATATTTTTAAAGGCCTTAAATAGGCATGGATTTTTAAAGAATAATTTTCAAGACCTCCAGTAAGGAGTGGATTTTTTAAAGTACTTTTTAATCCTCCAGTAAGGAGTGGATTTTTTAAAAAATACTTTTTAAGCCTCCAGTAGGGCATGGTTTTTTTAAAGAATATTTGTTAAGCCTCCTGCAAGGATTGAATTTTTTAAAGAATATTCTTTTAAGCCTCCAGCAAGGATTGGATATCATAAAGAATATATTTTAAGGTCTATCATAGGCTTGGATTTTTTTTGTGACATTTTTTATGGTATATCATAGGCTTGGATTTTTCTGTGATATTTTTTAAGACCAATTAACGAATATTTTTTTCAAACCCAAAACTATGCTGAATTTTTTAAAGAATATTTGTCAATTCCTCAAAAAGGCGTGGATTTTTATACCCTACACAACTATGTTGTCAGGGTATTATAGCTTTGTGCAGCCGCAAGAGTTTGTAATGCCGTGAAATATTGGTCCTAGACCCACCTTTAAGTATACCGATCATCATATCTCGAGTAGCTGAGTCGATCTAGACATGTGTCCGTCGGTCCGTCCTTCTGTCCATTATAATTTGTAAATACGATACATGCCACAGTTATGGACCAATCTTCACGAAATTTTGCATGTAGGATGGGTTCTGCGCAATGAAGACCTCTATTTTTTGGTAAAGATCGGTTAATATTTAGCGGATAAAATTGACCAAATTCTTAATTTTTATCAGCTTTTCTGGTCGCTCCGCAATTATGGCCCAAACATCGCAAACATGGAGAAGGGGATCGGGTCAAAGAATAAGCATGCATGTTTTGATAAAGATCGGTCAATATTTAGCGGGTCAAATGGACCCTGACTTTTGACCAAATTTTTATTCTATGGCGTATATATTTACCCCTGAAGGACATAGACCCGTGTAGTTGATAGTATATCCAAGAGGAGTGGTTGACCTTTAAATTGATTACATTGTCGTATGTAGTCGGATGTGGAAGTTACACTTAAATATTTACAGGTATTCAGATATTACTTTGTAACCCATTACCACACTAGAGTGCGGAAATATAGCGCTGATCGCTTTGAAATTTTCCATGAGATTCCAGTTATGGTCAAGGACAACGCCTATAATTTTTGGTGATGATCAGATAATAATTTTTGGATGAAGTGGACCGAAAACTTAATTTTTTGTGTTTTTTTTTCAAATTGAAAGCCGAACATCACAACACAACCCACGGTTAGGGGAATATGGACAAGTAACTGGATGGGCTGTACTGAATATTAGTAATATTTGTTGACCTCTTGTCGGTTAAGAGGGCGCAAATATCGCGAAATATTGCCCAAGCTCAAAACGTAGAACCACGGAAAGTTAGATTTTCGTGATAGTTGTGTAGGGTATCATATGGTCGGCCCCGTCCGACTTACTGCTCCGCTCACTGGTTTAAAAATAAATGTTCAATGTCTATCATAGGCGTAGATTTAAAAAAATCATTTTCAAGACCTATCATAGGCGTGGATTTTTAGATCAAATAATTTTTAAGGCCTATCATTGTCTTGGATTCGAACTATCAATACAATCACAGGCAATATCTTCACCAATTTTGGAGGTGTGACCATTCAAAGAATATATCCTGCCCTTGGCTTCACATACACCTTTAAAAAAATCATTTTCAAGACCTATCATAGGCGTGGATTTAAAAATAATAATTTGTAATGCTCATCATTGGTTTGGATTCGAGCTGATGTCCCGTAAAGCCATCAATACAACCACAGTCAATATCTTCACCAATTTTGGGGGTGTCACCATTCAATGAATATATCCTGCACTTGGCTTCACATACACATTGGTCCTTAATGAAGGTATTCACACCCTCACATGAGGTAGTATTCGAATAGATAATATAGGGAACCGCTGATCTGTGTAAGGTATTCTATATAAAAATTGAGTACATTTTTCTATTTCCAGAATATTTAATTTCTATTCAGTTTCGTACCCCATTCAAATTCACAATTTAATTTCCCCCATCTGACTCCTCCATTTCGTAACATACTTACAGTTTTTTTTACAATTTCCTGTTCATAATTTTGTTTAAAAAATAAAAAGTCTCAAAGTGTTTTTTTTTTTTTTTTGTAAATTTTAAAAATTTCGTTTTATTAGTTTTTTTCGAGGATTTCTTTTCTTTTTTGTTGTTGGTTGTTTTGTGTTTCGTTTTTGTTTTTGATTGGCATGTAGTAAAAATAAAAACTATAATTTAATAATAATTAATTAATTAACTTAGCAAAATACATTTTTATGGGGGGCTGGTATATTATTATCATTAGATATTTATAGAGATATATATATAGGTAGGTAATTTATTTAATAGTATTTTATATAGTTAAGGTAAGTAATAACTAAAAGGGGTTTTATTTTTGTTTTCTTTCTTTTCTTTTTTGTAATAATATTTCAAATACTTATTTAAGAAATGTGGTTGGGTATGTAAACCTATTTATATAAAAAATATAATAATTAAATTAAATTAAAAAACGAAAAATATTTTAGAATAGTAAATTTACAGAAAATGTTGGGGGGTTTTAAATTTATTTATTTTTCTTTTTTAAACTAAAGTAAATTTAATATTCGTTTGTTGTTTTTTATTTTTATTTTATTTTTAGGGGCAGAAAATTGAAAAAAGGAAACTTGAAATTCAGTGGCATTTTCTTTAAATGGAAGGGGAGTTTGGGAGTTTTAGCACATCTAAACAATCTGTCTTTATTTATTATTAGTTATAAAACAAAATATTTGTTTTATTTTTTTAAATTTAATGGAAATTGTTGTTTCGTTTTTAAATGCTGTGTTTGTAAAAAATAAAAAATATATGTTTTTTTATTTTCTATTTCATTAATTATATATTTTTATTGTTATATTAAATCCATATTTTATCAAAAAATATAGTTAACAATTAATTAATGCCTTTTGTTGTTTGTTTATAAACTTATTATTTATTTACTTTAGTTTTTTGTTGTTGTTTTCTTATATAAATAAATCACCTAAAATTTATATTTATATATATATATATTTTTTAATTTATAAAAAATCACTTTTTTCCGTGTATTTTCATATTTTTATATTTAAAAAAAAAACAAAAAAAATCTATACTCTTATATAAATATTTGAAAAAAAAATAATAATTAAATAAAAAACTAAACCAAAAAAATATTAAATTTTTATACATTTTGTTTTGCAGAAGAAAATACATACATACATATATATACTTTTTCTTACATATTTTAGAGTACAACAATAAGTGTAAAGATTGGGGAGGGGGGATACATTTTTGTTTTCGAGTTTAAGAGCAAAGCTCTTATTCTCTTTATCAAGTCTTTTGTTGTTGTTTTTGTTAATTTAAACTACACATGGTTTTTGTTATTGTTTTCTAAGATATGTCTTCTGTACATACATATATAATTCTTCTTCTTCTCGTTCAATTCATTGTTTCATGTGGAAGATCAATCAATTCCTTAATTACAGTTTGTATTTTTTTCTTTTTGTCTATTGTGGTGTCAAGTTCTGTTTCTTCTTCTACTTCATTCGTTATTTTTGTTGTAAGAAGAAGAAGAATCGTTTCTTGTGTATCTTTCGTTTTTTCTTTTTCTCTTTCGTTATCGTTTGTTAATATTCTTCTTGTCTATTTTGTTTTTGTGTCATTTTTTAAATCCGCCAACCCTGATCATCATCAACATTTGAATCGGTATCCGAAGGCTCTTCACCATACATATCCGCCAATTTACGGAAACGTGGACCAAAATTGGACAGATAATCAAAATTGAGATCACCATCATCTGTACAAGAGGCCAAACTGGATAGCGACCCGTCCGAATTACCATCACCCTCATAGGCATAGTGTCGTACATCGTCCACAGGGAAGGAGAGAATTTCCCGATCACAATTTTCTTTTTTATCGCCCAGGAAACCACCAATATCCGGTATCTCTTGAGGCTGTGTGGGCATGGCATGTAAACTATGTGGATCCTTGTACAGCGTTTCGCCATAATAAGGTTGGGTGGTGCGCAACACATTCAAATCGTAATCGGTATCACGTTCGCCGCCACCTTCATCTTCATAATTGATGATGGTTTCACGAATATCATCGATGTCCTTTTCATGCCAGCCATTCTTTTGTTTCTTCTGAACCACCACAGCGAGGAGGATAATTAGCAGCAGCACAATACACGATATAATGGCGATTAGGAAATTCCGATTAATACCCAAACTAACTGCGACGGCCACAGCCCGTTGACATCCGGAGTCGACATTGCGGAACACTGCAGGGGTACCCAAATTATAGGTATGATCATTGATGGTGAGATTTTTAATGCAACCAAAGAAGCCCTGCTGCCCAGGAACATAAGTCCAATTCAGCTGATGACCCAAATTGACCAAATCCACGGGAGTACCACCCAATTGCAGTGGAGAATTGACATTCAAAAATTCATTTGGCCCCTGTGGAGCCCCCAAACTCATACAGGTCGATAAACGGCAATTGTCCACAGTCATTTCAATGCTCGACTTTTGCAGCACAATGTCCAGTTGATATGATTTGCCAGCCTGTAGTTGTATGTGGCGATGATCGATGCGTATGGTGCCGGAACCGTAGTCCACTGTCAAAACCGGATAACCCTTGACCAATTCCAAGGCCAAAAAGTCCGACAGTGGCAGTAGGGGGTTATAATTAATTGGTCCCAAATACATAATCAGACCATGATCGGTTTGTGGTGCAACTTCCAAGCTTATGTGGGTATTATCACAGGCCGAAATGGGTTCATAAAAGGCATAACCATTACCATAAAAACCCACCGAGACCAATTCACAGTGGGGCCCCGTAAAACCATCAATACAATCACAGGCATCATCTTCACCAATTTTGGGGGTGCCACCATTCAAACAATATTTCCTGCCCTTAGCTTCGCACACACATTGGGCCTCAATGAAGGCATTCACACCCACAAATGAGGTAGTATTCGAATAGATCATATATGGAACCGAAGATTTATGCAAGGTATTTGTACAGGAACTTTCACATTTATATTTCTCAATGAGACACTCATCAATATTCACCATGAGGATCTGCAAATCCAATTCATTTTCCAGCTGCATTTGATGTTGGGCCACAATACCATTTAATTTCTCGGGAGCATAATATGGCGAACCATGGGCCGAGTAGCGTACATCCAACGTGTTATTTGTATTTTGCAAGACCGTAAAAACATCCACATTATCCACAGAGGTATTAAACAATCGTGCCAAATAGAATTGCAGACGATCTTTTAGCGATAACGCACTATCACCTTGGGCATCACGTGGTACGCTGATAAAATCTTCTTTGGTTATATTATAGAAACGTATGCTACCACTTTTATCCACAGCCTCTTCGGGTAATTCTCGTACAACCACTGTTACATCAGCATCCACGGAGTGGCGTGGTATAAATGTCGATTCCTCCGTCACGACAAACTGCAATTCATATGTACCTTCGGGTGTACCCTCGAGGTAGGTGATCATACCCGAACTGGGATTTAAACGGAAATTGTCGTGTGGTATCCCCTGGGCCCATTGGAACTGTTTATCATCCAAATCCCAATCATCTAGATCATCAACAAATACCCGACCAATCTCCGTATCAGGAGCTTCTCCCTTATAATTGTAGAAAGTGATGCGCGATGAACCCTCTGACATGGCATTATCGTTGACATCACCAATTATCAAATGCAAAATACTGACTTGACTCATTTTCGGCTGACCCGAATCACTTATCCGTATGGGTATGAAGTACTCCTTTTGCTGTTCACGATCAAACTGCACATTGGCAAAGAGATAATCATTGTCAATACTAAACTTATTTTTAATATCTTCCGAGGCCTCTGAATCAATGCCAAAAGTGTAGGGTGGGCCATTTTGTGGTTCATCGTAGTCGTTGGCCTGCAGCTGTACCACCTGGCCAGGATTGCGATTTTCTTGCCATATTACGGGCATTTTGTTGATTAAAAATGGTGCATTGTCATTAATATCCTGCAGATTAATGGTAACAGGTGTCACGGACTTAAGGCCAGTACCATCTTCATCTACGGCGGAGATCAAAACCTGCCATGACTTATGACCATGTGGTAAATCACGATCCAAGGGTTGTATCAACTTCAAACAACCATTATCATCGATACTCAACATTTTCTTGTGTTCATCTTTGACCACAAAATATTTAATATGTTGATCGGCATTACGATCCTTGATATCCGGATCATAGGCTTCAATATTTAAAATGCAGTTATCGAAAATCTGCTCTTCCCTAATGGTTATGGTGTAATTATCCTTAAACAAGGGGGTGTTGTCGTTGACATCTTCCAATTTGATGATAACCGTGGCATAATCATCGAAAATACCATCAAAGGCCCGAATCTGCAGCATATATTCGGTGATATCTTCATAATCCAATCTCGAGTTGACAGTGATTTTACCCGTCTGCTCCTCAATTTTAAAGGCATTGCCCACATTACCACTCTCTATGGTATATTTAATTTGTGAAGCATTATCCTCATCCTCCGCCGTGACTTCAATGACAATGAAATTGATATTGGCATCTTCGGGTAATTTATCTGCCACATATTCACTCATTTGGAAGTGGGGTTTGTGATCGTTTTTATCGGCAATTTCAATGCGAAATACTTGATGGCCCCTGTTTGGTTCGCCGTTTTTAATCAAAGACGAGGGGGAATTGTCACTGGCAATTACTTTGACATTGTAGAAATCCCTTTCCTCACGATCAAATGTGGTCAAGGCGGTGATATTACCGGTTTGTGGATCAATGGAGAAGATATCGAAATTATCAGCCAATTCAAAGGACACTATGTTATTTGCCTCAGTGCCATCCATATCGAATGCACGAACCTGCATAACCGGTGTACCGGCGGGTTCATTTTCCAAAATTGTACCGGCGCTCACTTCCGTAAAATAAGGGATATTATCATTAACATCTTCTACGCGAATTTTCAAAACATGTTCCGCCACCAAATCGTATGTATTTCTCGCACTCATTGTCAGGGTGTAATCGGTTACGGCTTCATAATCCAATGATTTACCCAAACTAATTGTCACAGTATTTTCAATTTGATTGAAAACGAAGGTTTTCTTGCTATTCGTTTGCTCGGTACGACCGGTGATTAATTCAAATATCACTTCCGGTTTATTGGGTACATTTGAGACGGCCTTTAGGGTTACTATCGGCGCCGAATAGTCACTAAAATTCTCCTTCAGATAAATCACATCATCGCCTAGTTCAATGAATTTTGGTGGTTTCTTGGACGATTCGACGACACGTATGCGTACTTCGATTTGTGCATCTTGCGGTGGATCTGGTACAATATTATAGGCTCTTACCGTTATGGTGTAGGTACCGCCTGGTTTACGATCTATGGGTCGGGTTAGCGATATAATACCTGCAGCTTTGTCAATTTTGAAGTAGCTATAATCACGTTCTTGCAGAATTTCATATTCGATAATACTGTTGTTGCCATCATCCAAATCACTGGCCGAAATGCGCATAACCACGGCATTGGGCTGGAAAGAGAAGAGGAAAGGGGAGGAGAAGAAAAATTAGTAAATTGAATTATACACAAAAATATAATTTAATGATCTCAATGGGTAAAAAATCGCCCTACAGTAAATTATAAAAATTGGTCTAACTTTAAGTGTAGCCCCCACAAAGGTCGACCTTCCGATTTTAAGGATTTTGGACACATTTTCCAATAGAATTAGCTGGAATTCGATATTTCGGATTCTCATAGGGTAGCAAAAATCTATCTAGCAAAAGTAATCAACATTGATTCATCTTTTGATGTAGCTCCCATATAACGATACCTTCCGATTTTCGATATTTTAAGAATTTCGGACACATTTTCCATTCGAATTGATTTTAATTCGATATTTAAGGTTCTCAATGGGTAGAAAATTGCCCTACAATAAATTATCAAAATTGATGCAACTTTAAGTGTAGTCCCCATATAAGTCGACCTTCCGATTTTAAGGATTTTGAACGCATTTTCCAACCGAATTGGCTGTAATTTGATATTTTGGATTCTCATTGAGTAGATAATCTATCTACCAAAAATTATCAATATTGGTCCACCTTTAGGTGTAGTTCCCATATAACAATACCTTCCTACTTTCAAAATTTTATATAATTTTTCTCAAACATATTGGCTGTAATTTGATATTTTAGGTTCCCGATGGGTAGAAAACCTCCCTACCTCAAAAGTTATAAATATTGATCCACACTTAGGTACAGTTCTCATATAGCGGATTTCGGAATTTTAAAGATTTCTGGGTAAGTTTCCAACAGAATTGTCTGCATTTTTATTTTTTTAGGTTATCTATGGGTAGAAATAAAATGTATCTACCAAAAATAAACAAAATAATCGCTTAGGTATAGACACCATATAAATCCATGCCTTCCGATTTTCGGTATTTTGAATATTTTGGACACTTTCTCAAATTGAATTGACTATACTTTGATAATTTGTATTCGTATTCAGTAGCGAATTTCCCAAGCGAAAAAAAAAATCGATATTAGTACACCTTTTGGTATGGCCCCTTATAACCATTTCTTCCGATTTTTGGTATTTTGAAGATTTTGGTTAAATTCTCCTAGAGATTGGTCAGCATTTTCATTTTCTTAGGTTCTAGATGGATAGAAAATTCGCCTACCAAGAAAAAAATAGATATTGGTCCACCTTTAGGTATAGCCACCATATACGGATTTTTGGTATTTTGAAGAATATGGGTATGGCTTTCAAACGAATTAGCAATAATTAAATATTTTAGGTTCTAATTAAACAGCAAATTTCCAAACTATCAATATCGGTCCACCTGAAAATGTAGCCACAGAGCCCTTCGATTTTATTTTTTTCAAATCTTAAGTGAATCTTATCTTTCAAACTTACTATAAAAATAAACCACATTAAACACATTTTCGCTCTTTCCACGTAACACACACACACAAAGCAACTTTAAAGATATTCTGCTACTCCGCTACGATTTTACAAAGTTATTTTTCCCGCTGAATTTTTTAATTTTTTTCTTTCTCCCTGATTTTTTCAAGTATTTCTTTTTTCTTTTTCTGCTATTTTTTTTTTTTCAAAAAAAGGTATTGATTTTCAATTTTAAGTTTTCTTGCGTTTTCAACTACTAATTCCGTGTCACGTCTGTTCAAGTGAAAATTATTTATTTTTCTTAAGAAGAGAAACGTTCGTTGGTGGTCGCATAGTCTAATAAGTCTTAGAGGGTTTTGCAATGCCTGCAAAAGTTGATTGCATTTGTCGGTGTGGTGGGATACGTAACTATAGCGTATTAGGGCACATTTAAATAAAGGTTTCAAGGTTCTGCAGCACATTTGTGGCTATGTGCGCTTTAATGTGAGTGCAGTGAACTCAATTGGAGGAATATGTGTTGGAATATTTGAAAAAAGGGGGAAGAGATGAAGAAGGGGAACTGACTTGAATGTGTACAATTGCATGGAAAGTGTTTGACACAACACAGTAAGTAAAGAACATTAGTGCTAGGCGAAAAAAGGGGAAATTGGAAAATAAGTTTTCCGGTACAAAGTTCAAAAACTATAGCAAAAAAAAAATTCTATTTATGCCAACACAACGAATAAAATAGAAGTCCCAAACAAACCTAATAATGATTGCTCTTGAAAAAATATTATTTAAAAAAAAAAGGTGGATACGAAAAAATTATTAAAAAATATGAATATAAGAAACATTTTATTTCGAAAATCACCACTTATTATGGCTCTTGGGAAAAAAAAAATTATTTAAACAATAAATCAAGAGGTCTTTTTTGACCATATTTTTATGGTCAATAGGTATTTTTTAACCATTCTTTATGGTTAAGAAAGACCTCTTGGTTTATTTTTTAAATTCCAAGAGCAATAAAAATTGATGATTTTGAAATAATATTTTTTTTTAAAGCTATTTTTTTATTTTTTCTTTATAATACACCATAATCCACCTTGTTTTTTTAATTTTTTTTTAAGAGCAATATTTTTTTATTTCATCAAAAAAGTGAACTGAAGAACAGCCTAAATGGACCTGAATTTGGAAATGGGGCATTCAGTGGTTACCTTTTCCTGAATGTTATACGCATTTACATTGTCCCGGATAGTATAAATCCACAATATCTAAAATTTCAATACCGTTCTGGACGTTTTTTCATTCATGTAGGGTATGAAATATGCTACCTCCTGGAGTTCAGATTTTCAAACATTCTTAGGGTAGAAAATATGTCACCTTCTCTACCTAGCTTTTTCAAAAGATTCGTTCAAAGTTTTCACAACGTTTACATCTAAGTGACCGAAAAAACGTGACCTCCACCACTTGGGGAAAAAGTGAAAATCTACAAAGCCATAGCAACAAAATTCGTGGAAAATTGTTACAATGGAAAAAGAAGGTGGATAAATAATTGTTGCCGGTCATCGGGGAGGTGTGGATATTTGTTTTTCTTTTCACAAAAAATGTACAGTGTGGAATACTAAGATAGGGACGTAATGAAACTATTTAGGCTAGGAAATTTGTAGGTTAAGAGAATGCGAAATATTTTCCTAAGAAAAAGAACTTTATAAAAATTCAAACAAAAAAAAATAGTTTTGTCAGGGAAATTCGCTACCTCCTCAATATTCAACTTTTCAAAATATGTGCATATCAATTAAAAATGTATCCAAAATCTTCAAAATACCTAAAATGGGGCCTATTTGTTATAAGGGGACAATACCTTAAGCTAGACCTATCAAGAACGTAAAATATTATATTATAGCAAATTCGTTTGGAAAATATGTACAGAGTTTTTAAAATACCAAAATTCGGAAGTTAATCTATATGATGTCAATATTGATCATTTTTGGTAGGACGGTTTCTTACTCATTCGGTATCAAAAATATTAAAGTAGAGATACACCTGTTGAAAACCATTTCCAAAATTCTTAAAATTGCGAAAATAGCGTGATATGGAGCCTATACGTAAAAATTGACCGATTTTTATCAGTCATCTTATCTCGATCTTGTACCCAATGTGAATCTAGTATAATAAATTATTACAATTTCGACTTAAAATAATTTCAAATCGGGATAGCCTTATCTCGAATCTGTACCTAAAGGTGGACAAATATTCCAATTCCAATGGAAAATATGTCCAAATTTTTCAAAATACCTAAAAATTGACCGAAGATTTATATAGGTGTTATACGTAATCGTGGACCTATATGAATTATTTTTTGGAAGGGAGATTTTCTTATTAATCCGTATCCATAATATAAAATTACTTTCAATCCGATTGAAAAAGGTGTCCAATATCTTTAAAAAACGAAAATTGAGAGTTCCATCTATATGTGCGGGTTTACCTAGTCTGAAACCGTTTCGAACTTGACGTGACTATAGACACAAACCATTTGTGTTCAAAATTTCAACATTTTATAGCAGTTATTTCGTAAGATACCGATAAATTAGAATATACAGAAAGGCGGACATGTGTAAATCGTCCTTTAATTTTACTCGGCTGGAAATAATCATTTTATTAGACCTTTGTTGATCTTCAAACGGAACTAATATACACTCCATACTGTGGTGGTGGTCTGAAAACACAGAGTTGGAATCGAATCATTATTGTATAAAGATCCCACGTTTATTATTATTATTATTACATTTTTTATTTATTTTTGTATAAATATGCCAATTATTTTATTTTGTGATTAAAAATCGTAATCCCCTTGAAAATTATATTTAAACATTAAGTAGGAAAGAAAATATTTTCTTTTTCATTTTACTGAAGCCATCAATCACGATAAGGAATTATAATCACAGAATGCCATTTTCAACAAGCATTGAAAATTCTATAAATGTAATTCAACAGCATATGTATGGACAAGCCGATGAAGAAAATCCCCTCCAATAATAATAATGATGATTTATGTTTATTTGAGAAGTTCAATCACTGCTGCTAGAGCTAACAAGAGATAATCCGAGGTTATTATCTGTTGCATGATGTTCTTATTATAAGTTTTTACATTAACGAACAAAAACATTTTTAAATGCAAAGAGATTGTAATAAAAATGGTCAATCGTCCATCATGGGATAGTTTAGAGAAAAAAAACCCACCCTTCAAATAAAGTTGTATAATAATGAATACCTTCATTGGGTTGATTGGAAAATTTAGTTACACAAGATAACAATTATATTCAGCTGCAACAAAACAACATCCTAGGGGTGGTTTGGTTACTTTGTGGGAAAAGAAACAATTTTTAACACCTGTGGATTTCGAAGAAATTTCAGTTTTGGGAGGTTCTCATTAAAATAAACGAATTGGGGTTTTTCGAGGGAAAAGAAATTTAAATATTTTGTTTTCCCGGTTTTCCACAAAATAGTCACACACAAGCGTTTTGAAGGACAGTAGTAGTTTCATGGGAAATAATAAGAGGACAGTTGAAGTAGATTGTGGAAAGATATGAGAAGTAGTATGCATAATTTATAGAAATTTCAGAGAATGCCTATTTGAATATAACTAACAAAATGTCTTCCCTTAAAAAATATGAGACTTCATGGGATATTAAATCTTCATGGGATATTAAGTCTTCATGGGATATCAAATATTGAAAAATTATTTTTTTTAAGAAAATACAAGGAATATTTGAAAATGATTAAGAAAATCATCTTCGTTTAAAAAGGTTCAATATTTTGCATGAATGATGACAAAATTAAGCAGTGCGGTAGAACAGATTATTTTCAAAAAAAAAATAAATAAATAAAGGGGACAACGAAGCAATTTTTTTATTTTTTTTTACCGAACATTTATGATTTTGAAGCATGAACCATGCAGCAATCAAGCAGAAGCGGTAGAACAGATAATTTTTTAAAAATTTAAAATTTAATGTAAAGGGGTCTCCCCCACACCAAGATTTTTTTTTTAATTTTTACGAGACGATCATGAGTTTGAAGTAAATAAGAAAAATCTTTTTTTTACAGAGAATGTGTTGGTCCCACAAAATCACCTTCTCATAAAAAATGGCACAACACAATATATCCCACTGTTATATTATTATAAAGTTGAGCATATAATGTCAGAATATTTGTCAAATATACGGGCTTAACAAATTTTAATAAAGTAGAAAAATGTAGCTAAATTCAATAATTCTGAATTAGACATAATGAGCATAGACTCTGGTGATGTTGAAAAAGTTGGAAATGAATGTCCAGAGGACAATGACAATTATAGACAGTGGGTATGGAATTATACATTGTATTCTTGAAAACATCCTTAAGTATTCCTAAAAACAGATTATTTTATTGAAAACATTGACAAGGATTTTTTTACATTTACCTGCTTTAACATGTGTTCAACAGGAATTTTTATTTTAGAACACAAAAAATATGCCCTCAAAAAATTTCCACTTGAAATAAAATATGGAAACATTATGGGATAATCCAAACAATTTGGATGAACTGCTAAAAGGGAAATTTCCAAAAATATGTTAGTAGGTAGGCGACATTACCATTTCTTCAAATCCCAAAGCTGAATATAATTTTGAAGATATCTGTATTTCCGTTAAAAAAAATACTTGATAAAATCTGATTTTAATTTATTTTTTGAAATAATATTTTAAAATAAGACTCTTGATTGTAAACGAGGAATTATTGTCATTCTCTGAGCCCCTAAATATTACTTCAATATCTTTGGAATTTCTCAAGAACAAATATTGTAAGCTATGAAACGGAATATATTTTTAAGGGATAATATCCAGTTATCAATTTTTTTCATCAGTAACTAAAAAATATTAAAAATTGAACTTAACACTGTATCCAGTTACACATATAATTATATTTATGCCATCAAAACTTTAATAATTTAAAAATTACAAATACATTTTGTTCACAATGATTCACAGTTTCAAAATTAGAACAAAGGTAAAAAAATGGGAAGGCCATTTTTTATTATTTCGTTAAAAAAAATAATAATAATAAATCTTATCAACAAAACATTGAATTTCTTACTCAGCAATCATGCAATCTATATAGGTAGTAGTTATGTATGTCGAGTTTAAAATGAAAATTTTATGAATTGAATTTCAGTTACGTTATTCTAGTTTAAGTCGGCCACCTACTTTTTTTGCTGATGTTAATTAACTGTCGAATGAGAGCAAAGCTAATAATAGTAGCAGCAGTAGCATGATGCTATGTGAGAATGAAATGCCTCGTTGCATTTTGTAACACTGTATAAGGTATCATCATCGTCATGAACGTCATAATTTTATTTTGCATTGTTTTGTAAATGAAGCTAGTTTGTATGTGAAGAATAGCTATATTATCTTGGCATCTACTTCACATTATATTCAAAATTATATTGTATGTTGATGTGATGATATTCACAAAGATGCACAAACTTGTGAAGAGTCGTTTTAAAAAATGTGTTGAAATTTTTAAGTCTGTTCAACAAGGTACTAAAAGCTTCATTAAAGCAAAACTAAATTTATGATTAAGAGTTTAGAAGAACTGGAAGAAGTTTCCTCTTGTATGATGCTAACTCTCCCATACAAAATTAAAATTGCTTTCAAATTTTTGGTTTTTGAAAAATCTGCTCAATGAGGGAATGTTTTGCTTTCTTCTTCTGGAAATATTAAATCACATTAAATTTCCAGTTTTGCGAAAGAGCAGTTTTTTGGTGTATGTCATTCGTTCAATACATGTTCTTTCCTGAAGTAAAACCTGAATTTTCTTTACGGGCTTCTCTCAAAATAACTATCCTTAAAAAAATTAAAGCATAATATTTTAATTTTCTCAAATATTAACAAATAATTACCTTAAGATAATATATTTTTTATTTAAAAATCATTGCACATGGGATGATTGCTTTGATTCCTACTTTCTATCAATAACCCATAAAACGCGATAACATCTTGAAATTTTCTGTTAATGTTGTTATTGGCATAAAAAAAGACTTGTTAAAATTCCTTAAAATCAAAAACAAATATGAAATTTATTTAAATATTCACAAAAATATTGCTAAATAATTACCTCAAGATCGTGCCAATATTTTAGACTAACGGCTCAAAAAATTGTATAGATATGGTTTGAAATATATCAATAGCTTTATGGCATTTTTGTCCCTATTCCTAATTTGCATTAAACTCTGCAACCTTTTCCCACACCAATTAGCAGTAATCCAGGGGTCCACTAAATTGGCCAAGAAAAGGTCTTCTACCTCACACTCATTAAACTTCTCCCACATCACTTGAACACCCATTACTTTTTATAAAAATATAAAACTAAAATTAATAAATCAATAAAAATTTCTATAACTCACCTGTATGTCTTCCGACATCGATTCATCATAACGAGCCTTATTGAACACCGGTGGATTATCGTTGATATCCTCAATGGTCACTTTAAATGTACAAATATCATCTAAAGGAGGACGACCATTATCGGTGGCCTGGACCGTAACATATACCGCTTTTTCATGAATTGGTTCATCCCGATCGAATGTGTGCTCCGTGGTAATAACACCCGTTGTTGGATTTATACGAAATTTGGGCCTCTCAGCAGCCGATTGTACTAAACTATATTTGATTTCCTGACCCGCATCAGGATCTTCAGCCTGTACCATTATAACGAAAGTGTTCTCAGGTTGTTCTTCCTTAACCGATGGTTTATAACCGGCACAATTTTTAAAAGCCGGTTTACGATTGTCAACATAGTTGAGTATCTCATTAGAATTGACATTGTTGTTTTGAACATAGTACGCATTGGAGGCACCAATACCGCGTGCGGATGAGGATGATGGTAGGCTACCGGAATATAAGGCGGATACGGAATCACGTTTCAAACGCAGAACACTTTCTAAATTATTGACGCTTGTTGTTTGATTTGCCGAAATATCAGCATAGGAGGAATGATGATTGTGGTGTTGCTGCTGTTTGTGGCATAAAACATAGGCGGGTAGAGAAGAGCTGAGACACAGTGCTATTAACGCTACAACAAATGATTTATAAACATTTTGTTGTAGTAGCAATGGCGGCAGGTGGTGGTGCTGATGGTGTTTCCTTCTTCTACTGCTATAGATATGTTGTTTGTGTTGTTGTTGGAGCAGGATGTGATCATTTTCATGCCTTAAACAAGATCCTGAACATCCTGTTTTTGTAAAGGACGACGAGGACGTGGAGTTTTTCTGTGCTGTTGATGATGTGAAGTTGTCTTCTGTCGTGGGTGGCTGAAGTCTTGCCATTGTGTTGTTGTTGTTGATGTTATGATTCATGTTGTTGTTGTTACTATTGTTAGTGGTAGTGTCAGGCGAAGCCATAGTTATTTCATTACCACCAACAACATCGAGGACATTTATTTTGGATGGAATAGTTGCTGATTTGTATGGAAAAATTTCCATAGAAAAACCGGAAATTTTCACCATGGACCAAAGGAGAGATAAATGCTGCAGCTGCTGGGCTTTCTTTTGCTTTGTCTTACCTTTTATGTTGTCATTTTGTTAAATCACGGCTTCAATACGTATGAGTCACCCAGTATTTATCGGAAAGAAACCAACTTGGAGAGATTATTTTTTAACACTTTATGGTTCTTTTTTATCTAAAATTTTGATAATCACTATTCTTCTTTTTTCAAAATTCACTTTTTTAACATTTCTTTTTTGTAATTTTCTTTCAAGAAATGAGTAAAAAAAACTTTGTGTTGCTTCTTTTTTCAGTCTTTTTTGTGCACCAAACAACAATTGACGTTTGTTAACGTCATCGCATTTTCATGGCAACCAAGCAACGACCGACCGGTACAAGAAAAACGGTAATACACACGGGAGAGTTGGGAGATAATAGTTAAACCAATTTCTTTCTGATTCTTCTTCTTCACTCTTACTCTCAGAGATTCACTCACAAGTAATTTTTCACGTTTAACTCTTTTTTATTCATTTAATTGTTTAAATTGTTAAGATTTGTTTTTTGTTGTTGAATTTTTTATTAATTAAAATCAATTCATTTGTTACTCTCTCTTCTTCTATCGTTGCCCGTTACGTTTCTTTCTCTTTCATGTTTCGACTTGAATTGATGTTAACGTATTTTCGTATTCGTGCACAGTTCGTTCTGTTTGTGGTGGTGGTGACCCTCTACTATTGACACAAAGTAAAAAACAGGTAATTCCAGGTAAAAATAGTGGTTTTACTTCACTCACGCACACACACTCACTTATCTATGCCAACGTTTTTACAATGGCCGAAAAGCTAGGTAAATGCAAGTCAAGTTATATACAATACACGTCTGTATATATAGATGTGTGTTAAAATGTTTACTCTTAACAATGGCAGTAGGCAGGCTAATGCATTTGTAGTGGTTACCAATAAAGCAACCAACAACAAAGCGCAGAGAGGAGGGGAATAGATAAAAAACTCCAGGTATTTTTGTTGCTGTATTATTTTTCTTCGTTTTACTTCACTTGTTTTCTTTTTATTAAAGGCACAGTTTTGTATTATTTTTTATATTTCTTCTTATTTTTCGTTTGTTTATTCCAATTTTCGTTACTTTTTTGTTAACTCTTTTGTAGTCAAGTTTTCTAGTTGCTGCGACAAGCAACAAGTTTTCTCTTGTAACTTTGTTGTATTTCTGTATGTATGTGCGATCACGATCTTGCTCTCTCTCGAAACGAGTTTTTTGGTGGCGCGCGCTAATTTCGTCCGCAATCGACAACCAACAACACCAAATTCAAAAACAAAACTAAACGTACTGCACAGCAACAGAGCATTACGCCGTTCAATGCCTCGACGGTTGTGATATGACGCCGTTGTTTTTTAAGACATCGCAGGAGTTGTGAACAACGGCGGAAATACTGTAGAGCTACATGGTTGTATTTTTCATATTCACCACAATGCATTTTAACATAAACGGACATCTAGTGGTCAATAGCAAAGTTTGTATCGTATAAATTATAGCACCGTTAGGTTTCGGACTATGTCGTTTTTATCGTAATAAATTACAGTGTTGTATTTCAACATATTGTTATTTTATAACCCTGAGAATATATCCGTAATAAATCAATATTTTAAAGAAGAGAATATGTCTACAAAAATTCGCGTATCTCCAAAAATCTTTAAAATTTTGGTCTACAGAAAATACCTATGAAAATTGTATGTTTGTGACTCTGAAAATTCACTCTTATAAAAATGGGTCAATAGGTCTTCTGTTAGAAGGTCAGTAGGTCTTTTATTATTTTTTTTGTATGTTTTCTTATAGAAGACCATATGAGTCATCTTATAAAAGGCCAAATCGAACTTATTGAAACATAATAGGTATTAATATAAAAGTCAAAATAGGCTTTCTTATATAGGGCCGGTATATAATCTTATATGAGATCCTATAAATATATATTTTAAGTGAGCAATGGATCCTCCTATAGAACATTGAACATTGCAGAGGTATATAACGAAAGTAGTGAAACTGCATGCCTAACTTAGGAAAGTATTAATTAAATCAAATATGCCATAATGTGGAGGAGTGGAATGATAAACTCCAGCCTCTAACTTCTTACAGGATCCGCGCGCAAGATATTACAAATATATATTTTTATTCTACATCCTCGAAATTGATCCATGTTTGAGAAGAATATTTAAATGTGCGAAATATTGATCAAGTCCGATACACCTTTCGACACTCACATTTTTCAAATCGACTCCAAATTGTCTGGAATGGATTTGGGCTTAGTCTTTATTTTGGATAAGCGAACAATCCACCCTAAGCTCCCAAAATAACCAACTGTTATAGATTTTTATAAAACTGTCTGGGACAACAGTCTATGACCGAGTCAGAATCAGGTTGATAATAGTGATTGAATGGCTTACCTCCTCCATGATTGAGGAGAGACTATAATGAAGAACCTTTTATAAACAATCTATAAAGGCTTATAGGACACTGTGCCGTTATCAGGAGGATATGGAACATTCCACCAGTTATCCAACCTATCCACTATTTTACCTTGAAGTCAAAAGGCTGGCTAAAATAATAAAATATTTATTTTGAAATTCTTCAATTCAAATTTGTTACCCACCAATATCCCCTAAAATGGCCATAGGACAAACAAAATACCTTAAATGGAACCTGATATTTTTATTACAGGCGTCCATATTTTGGGCAAAGAAGTTTTCCTCCCACCTAAAAATGAAATGCCAAATTACAGTCCCTTTTGTTTGAGAATGCTACTTTTGTATACCATACAAACCTATATACTAAAACGTAGACCGATATATATCATATCAAACATATTATTCGGAGTTACACTGCTGCTCTTCAATAATCTCTTTTGAATTTCTTCCCCCTTTCTGTTCTTCCTAGCTCCCTCTGATAAGAACTTGCAAGAATTTCCATAGCTCTATTTTAAATATAAGGGCAGTGTCCCTTATAGTTCAGTATTCTGAAAGGTGATCGCTAAGAATAAGCTGTAATTTCTTTTCAAAAAAAGTAATATTTATTTCAAGTTTAATAACAACATTAACCTTATATTAACAAAATAAATACATATCTACATTTCAAAAACACCAAACTTTACTCCTCCTTTTTGGGTGGCGTCAACATTTGTTCAAATTCCCAAGCAGTTTTGAAATAATTGTCCAAAATCAATGATGTCTTGTTGCCCAATTTATATGTAGAACCATTCCAGGGGCTAAAGGTATAGGTGACTTCTTTTACATCGCCCTGATCGAAATGATGATGTGTTACTCCGCCAGGGAATTGTGAATGATAGACAGCTAAGTATCTAAAAGTAATAATTTAAACTAATATCAACCACATAATTCAATTTCCCAACGAGAATCCACACTTACTTGCCATCATTGTTTTTGTAAATTCTCAATGGAAATTTGGAGACCACCAACCGTAGCACCGCATTTATGACCAAAAATCCCAAAGCGAAAACATAAATATCCTCCGTGTGCATTACCAGCTTGGTGTCTACCAACGAGGGATCCATCAAAGGTTCTCCACTGGCATATTGATATGCCGCAGCACCACCAATTATTGTCGCTGTTATACTTGACACATGCATTGACCAGGCAACATAATTTTCCATTGTTGAACGATAAATTAGACTATAATCGGATGGTACTCGATCGATTTTCATATATTGTTGCTCTTTGGCCAGGGATGTAGCCGGTCGTGGTAGACGTTCATTGAACCATTGTGTTGCTGTACAGCTAATATTACGATATTGTTTTAGATTTGTTGGTGCTACTGATTTTTGTAGCAGGGATCTTGTTGCAATTGGCAGGAGTTTTGTTATTTTTAATAAAGCCGTCATTGTTGTTATGTGAAAACAATTTGTCTGTCGGCCAGTCCGCTCGTCTGTTTTGTCGATGAAGAGTAAAGAGATGCAGATTGAGGTTATAATGGGAGTTTGTTTACATTTTGCATGAAACAGCTGTTTTGTTCAGTGATAGCTTGTGGGGTACAATCGCAACGCATGGCGTTTGGCGTCATCGCCTGTTTATAAGTACAAAAGGGAATAACTGCAAATAGGTGGAGTGTATATTAAATTGGTCAATCCGTTTTCAAAAACTTGGAATATTCGCCGTATATATTCTGGATTAAAGTAAAATTCTACCGTTTTGGCTGTAATTAGATATTCAGGGTTCGTGAAGAGTAAAAAATATGTTTGAAAAAGAATAAGAAAATGTTCGATATAGGGTCTGTTCCAGTACTTTTTTAATAGAAAAGCTAGTAAATGTCAGATATATGGTCTGTTCCAGTAATTTTTAATAGCAAAGTTGGTAAAAGGAAACATTTCATAAATGCTCTCAAAATACAAAATAATTTGAAAGGTTCGGGAACGCAAATCTAGTAAATATGCCGAAATTAGAAGGCAATACTTTAATGTCAACATAACAGCCAATCAGAAGTTGGCATACCTGTTTACCATTTTTACTCGGACAAAATTGTTCGAGTTTTGTTTTGTGTTCTCTTAAATTTGGTTCAACGTTTTACAAGTTCTGTGGGTTCAGTAACAGGTTTCGAGTAAAAATTTGCAAATCTTGTAAAATTAGTAGATTCTTTTAGGTTCTGGAACGGAGCTATAGTTCCACACGTTACTGTCTAAAAATACTTTTTTTCTACCAAGACTATTACCTTCCACTCTTGTATAAAGAAGGTCGTCCGCCTATAAGGATCTGTACTATTCTTTTCTGTTCAAAAATCTGCTCTTCTAGTCTGTTAGTCGATAAAAACTACTTTCTGTTCGTCTATAAAGACTCCCTGCAGCTAGTATATAAAGATTTCCTTCAGCTCGTTTATAAAGACTCTATAAATACTCCTTCTACCTTCAGTTCGTTTTTTAATATTACCTTCACCTCGTAAATAAAGACTCCCTTTACCTCGTCTATAAAGACTCCCTTTACCGCGACTATAGAGACTCCTTTCAGCTCGTCTATAAAGACTCCCTTCAGCTTGTCTACAAAGACTCCCTTCAGCTTGTCTATAAAGACTCCCTCGTCTATAAAGATTGCCTTTAGCTCGCCTATAAAGACTCCTTTAGCTCGTCTATGAAGACTCCTTTAGCTCGTCTTTAAAGTCTCCCTTTAGTTCGTCTTTAAAGTTTCCCTTCAGCTCGTCTTTAAAGACTCCCTTCAGTTCGTCTTTAAAGACTCCCTTCAGTTCGTCTTTAAAGACTCCCTTCAGTTCGTCTATGAAGACTCCTTTATTTCGTCTATAAACACTCTCTTCAGTTCGTCTATATAAGACTCCCTTTAGTTCCTCTATAAAGACCTCTTCAGTTCGTCTATAAAGACTCCCTTCAGCTCGTCTATAAATACTCCCTACATCTCGTCTATAAATACTACACTCCACTCTTCTATAAAAACTTCTTTCTGCCCGCCTATAAGTTTCCATGTGTTCATCTATAATGATTCCCTTCAGATCGTCTATAAAAATCCCTTCTGCTAGACTATAAGACGACTTATGCCCATAAATATCCCCTTCATCTCGTCTATTAAAACTATCCACTGTTCGCCCTATTATATATCACATAACCTCAAATAAAAAATACATTCGCTCTTCACTCTCTTTCTTATAATATATGCTCACTTTCTTATAAATAAAGGGAAGTTTTAAAATTACTGAAATATTTAAATAAAAATGTTCGTTATTTTCTATACATTTCCATCCCTCAATACAACTCTGTATTCGGCATTTGGTCAAACAGCTGTTTTCATCTCACATTTCTTCACATCTCATTCTAAACAACCATGCTTCTTCTTTAATTTATTTTTCTCGTATATAATTAAGCAGCAGGGTCACAAATGTTGTCAATGTTTTTTTTTGAAATCGGATAAGTTTGTAACCACTCCTGATTCTACAAACATCAAGTGGACAATTATATTTTCCAGATAAAGATTTTCTTCCTACATCCAATGCAAACGAGGTATGTGTTCAGTGACTTGTTGATCATTAAGTTGATATGTGACCAAACAGCTATAGATCGATCAGAACATGCAGCTTTGGGCTAATGCATTTGCAACAACTCAATTAACTTCGTGCTGAAAGCATTGAATGCAACAAAAGCTGCAAGAATGGATCGTTGTATTGTTTCCGATTAATATAATAAACTTTCTCTAGTGTCGGCATCGGTTTTAAAAGCTTTGACTATAAAATGAATCAGTATAATAATTCTTGGTCATTCCCAATGCCAAATGGGAGACCTAATTATTCCAACAATAATAATAATAACAATCCACAAAACTTCGGCCAGTCTTTTAATTTTGGAGAACGTCGTGTTCGCTATGAAGGACCAAATATTAATTTGATGCAGTTTTCCAATAATTTTACACCAAATAAACAACAACCGCAGCACTATCAACATAGATTTCCTCCTGCATCAAGACAAAATGGACCGCGCCATCGACCACAGAACAAGAACAATCGGAATTTTCCTGGTGGTGTTAGAACATTTAAAGCTCTACCAAGAAATCCTGTGACACCATATCCATCAGTTCCTAAAGGTTTAAAAGGTCCACCATCACATCCCAAACCCGGCGATTCTAATCGGAATTTCTCACCCAATGTTAGATTTACAAAATCTCCACCACCTATAAGGCCTTCAACATTGCTGCAGTGTCCACCGCCAAAAGGTCCCAGAACACCTCCCTATCCAGCACCAGATTCTCCAGTGGTTAAGGAAAAATCAACCGGTTCTGTAGAACAATTATCGTCAAAGAAGGTTCACCACCATATTCCGCAAAAGCCTATATCAAATTCACAAAAATCGGAAAATGTGAAGGCAAGTCCTCAGAAGGAGGTAAAGGCTAAACAAAGAAAGAATTCTGAAAAACGTAATTCAGCTAAGAAAAGTTCGCCGGCGAAAAAATACAAAGCTGTTTCAAAACCTTCACCTTTAAATACTGCTGTTCAAGAGTATTTACTTCAAGTGCTAACTGCTAAACCTCAACCTCTTCCGACATTGACAACAATTGTCGATCCAATATCATATTTGCATCAACCACCACCTCCTATATCAACTCCTCCGCCTTTGCCACCAACACCTGAAGCTCCACCACTGCCGCCTTTGCCTGATGGAGAACCTCCTGAAGGAGGTGTGAATACAAGTTCGGTGAATGAAAAGAGTGATTGTAAAGAAGCCACAAAAATATGTTTGGATAAGGGCAAAAAGTCTAAAGAAAAAGCGGTTAAGTCCAAAGGTAGAAATAAAAAAAAAATATTTAAAATTTTTATAAACTAATTCTGTTGTTTTTATAGAAGTTGCTGAGCCTAAAAACAAATTAAAAAATAATTTGAACAAATCCAAAGGAAAATTAAATGGAGTCACAGAAAAAGTTTTCGAAGGTGATAAGTTCAAAGGTGTCCCGGACAATTCCATAGGTATTAAAGAATTATAAGTTTTGTACACCCTAGTTGAACGAAGCCTTTATAGATCAGTTAAAGGAACGGTTAAAGGAAGACTTAACAAATAAAGGAAGACTGAACTGAAAGGAGTCCTAATAGACTAGCTGAAGGGAGTCTTTACAGACAAGCTGAAGGGAGGCTTTACAGACAGGCTGAAGGGAGTTTTTGTTGGACTAGCTGATGGGATTGTTTATAGACGAGCTGAGGGGAGTCTTTTTAGACGAACTGAAGGAAGTCTTTATAGATGGGCTGAAACGAGTCCTTATAGACAAGCTGAAGGGAGTCCTTATAGATGATCAGAAAGGAACTTTATAGGGAAATAAATAGGGTCTTTATTGACGAGAAGAAGGCAGAGGTGATTATAATATTATTCAAATTGGGAAAAATCGGTTCAGATTTAGATATAGCTCCCATCTATAATTTCTTCCGATTAAAGGTAAATGGTGCACCAATGTCCCTATATATTTCGATTTGCACAAAATTTGGCATAGTGTACTGAATTAGGCCTAGAATGACGTACGCGAAGTTTCGAAATTTGGCACAGCGTATTAAATTGAGTCTATAAAGATATGTGCTAAGCTTCGTGAAAATCTGTTCGGATTTAAATATATCTCCCATATATATTTTCGTCCGATTTAATGTAAATGGTGCGCCAAAATCCCTTAATATCTTTTGATATGCACGAAATTTGGCATAGCGTACTGAATTAGGCCTAGAATGACGTACGAGAAGTTTCGTGAATCGGTTCAGGTTTAGATATAGCTCCCATATATATTTTCGTCCGATTTAATTTAAATGGTGCGCCTAAGATCCTGAATATCTTTCGATTTGCACGAAATTTGGCATAGCGTTCTATATTAAATCTAGAATATGTATCCAAAGTGATGAAAAGGGTATCAGATATAGTTGGCTCAGTCCGACTTTACCTTTCCTTACTGGTTTTCTTTGGGGAAAAGGTTTCTACAATTTTTTTTTAATTGGAGCTGATTTTCTATGATTTTTTTTCCATAAAAGACCGATAAGCATTCACGAATTGTCTTTTTCTCTCTCTCTCTCTCTCTCTCTTACAGCAATTGCGGAACCCAAAATAAAATTCAAAAACAAACGTAAAAAACTTGCATTATCCCGAAATACCATCAAGGACTGGACAATTGAAGATTGTCAAAAGGCTCTGCAGGTAGAGCAAGAATTATCCAAAGATTACTCTAAAGAAACTGTATTGAATTTACGTTTTCCCGATCCTCCATTGAGTCGTGAAATTGTTCAAAGCTATTGTGATGACATCGATACGGTACATTTTCATCAAAATTCGGCGCCACGATATTGTCTAGTATATCTCAAGGAAGGTGTTGATGCAAATGCGGTTATTGCAAAAATTTCGAAAATTCCCTTTGGCACAGGATTTGT